CCCCAAAAGAGAGGGGAAGTGTCCCAGAGAAGTGTGTGGGGGGGGGGGGGGGGGAGAGTTGAAATTGTCCAGGCAAAAGAAATGAAGGCTTAGATCAGTATTTCTTTAGAGGGGCAGTGACTTACATGTGAAGTGGCACTTCATACGCAATGCGTTTATTCTTCCTGCCCATTGATATTAATAGGCTCCCATTGGCCACAGTGAATTCTGTATTGGGCCAATTCTGCCTTGTTAGCGACTTTTAGTAAGACTTCATATATAAGTCTGTCTTTAGTTTTTCTTTTTTACTTCTGTTGGCACTGGCAGAGAAATCCTGCAGTTCAAGTTTGTTTGACTGGATTTAGGGATGTAAAAGTGTTCTCTCTCTTCCCCCTCCCCCCAAATTGCCTCTATCAGAGGCAGCAAGAGGCGGGGTGAGAAACAGCAGCTGTTGCTGGGGGGAGCCATCGTAAAACCCAGTTCGCCCAGCATGGTCTCTGCGGCAGGGCTGGAGAAGGGGGAGGCAGAGGCGCAATGGTCCTGGACCTACCCCAACTGTGGCTCTCTCCTTTAAATGTAGTAAAACCCATTTACAATGGAGAGCTGCAGTGTTCCCAGAGCTAGAGTGAGTTGGAGCTACCCCCACTGCAGCTCTGCAACACCCCCCCTCCCATCTACTAATTGTGCAGTCAATACAAATTGTATCAATTACACAATTAGCCAAGCACCCCCGTTCCTTAACATATTTAACTTAATTAAGTGACTTGCAGCCATCTCTACATTATGATATATAAAGAGAATCATTTTGGGTCTAAAATGTTGTCAAGAAAGCCATGTTGCTGACAGGCACTTCATCCCCCTTCTCTAATAATTATTCTTAGTATTTCTGGAAGTAACGCAGTGGTGGTCAGCCTGCAGCTCCAGTGCCCACATGTAGTTCGCTGGGGTTCCACCTGCAGCCTGCGGACCTCATGGCTGCTCCCCTCCACGTGCCTCTGGTGCACTGGGACACCACAGCCCCACACTTATTGTGCTGCCCTTTTCCCTCCCAGCACTTTCAGAGGCGCCAGGAATCACCTGATTCACACTCAGACCCTGCTCCTCTCCCTCTTGTAGAGCTGGAATGCTGCAAACAGCGGATTTGCAGTGTTCCATCTGGAAGGAAGGTGAGGAGCAGGTAAGTGCAGGGCTCCAGTGCCCCACTGCATGAGAGGCATGTGGGGGACAAGGTAGGCAAGAAGGCCACAGAGCCCACTGAGGCGAGGGAGGGCCACTAATGAGCCGGCCACTATTTGTTGTTGCCCATCCCTGAGGTAATGTTTTTTTGTTCACCAGCCTCTGTTTGTAAGACATGCTTACTCAGAGCTCTGCTTCTGAAGACCTAAAGAAATTGGCTCAGTAAAAGTTACATCATACACCTTCCCTCTCTAATATTCTGGGACCAAAACAGCTACAACAGCATATCAGAAAAAAATATTAAAGTGTATCTTCTCAAACTAAAGTGTAAAGTTATAAAATTGTTGATGTACATTTCCCGTTTTTATGAATGAAGGGAGACATTTTCTATATATGCACAAACTATGTTCAGGTATATCAGTGTTGTCAAAGTTGGCCGCAAGCCCATTTGGAGAGCTAACGGGCCATTCCGGTTTGTTTACTTAATGGCTCCATGGCCATGGAGCCTTGTGGCTCCCATTGGTTGCAGCTTGCTGTTTGCAGCTATTGGCTTTCCATGGTTCCCATTGGCAGCCCATTAGCAGCTTTCCTACCTCCCGCTTTGAGAAACACTGCAGCATATGAACACCAGTTTTGGCTTTGCCAAGTAAAGGAGAGACCATAATGTGCTGGAGCTAGTGCCTATTATTTGTGAGATTTCCCCATCACCTGCAGCTTTCAGCAGAGAAGTATTCTGCTGTGCCATTACATTTCTGTGAGAGTATTGTGTGTATTTGTAAGCCTTGCTTATGCAAGTGGCTTATTTTACCCTATGTTTACTAATGAAAATGTTAGGAAACAAATCACTTAAGTTTTAAAAACACAATCCCACCCCGCCCAACTTATTTATTTATTTTTTTTTTTTTAAGGCAAGTACATTACTGGTTGTTTAAATCATGGACTCTCAAGTTGCTGTTTGCTCACTTGGATTAATTTAGTTTAATGAATCTTCACATTAAAGATAAAAGTTCATGATTGTAGAAAAACTAAGGTTTTTTTTTTAATACTCTTAACTGTATTCTTGAGGGAGAGCTAGAATGCTCACAATCTTATTTAAATGCCCACTCTGCTTGGTGCTTCAATAGGACCGTCTTTCCCCCCACCAAGTTAAACGAATGAAACCTTATCCAGAGTTTAAAAGCAAAGCATATCCTTTTAGTTGTCTTCTAGCACTCCGGTTATTGAGGGGAGCTGCCGTTTTGAAAATCTAAATGGCAGACATGTTAGTGTGGTGGGGGGAGGGCTTTTTAATGAACACCTGTGATGAGTTCAGATTTCAGAAACTGGACTTGTCTTATGACTAGTGAACACAATGAGCCACATTTCTCTGGCCAAGTATATTAATTGCACGTTTCAGTTAGTCAGACAAATGAGAACATAATAATTAGCCTTCTTCTCCCCTCCCTCAGCCCCTTTAATGTTGAATAGCAGACTGTGTCTAAATGACTCATTAGAAATCATTCATGAATAGATTTCCAGTTTGATGTCCCCATGTCTGAGTAAACAAACAACTTTGAACATTACCCTTGTTTGTGAAAAGAAAAGTCTGCTATATTTGAAACCACAAATACTGTCGAATTATTTTGTTCAAAGAATGCAAGTCTGGATTGGAGCTCTTTTGAGCATGTTTAGTAATGAACACTGGTTTAGTAAAAAATTCTGTGACAGGCCACTGTAATATAAATTTGACTCATCCCTTTAAATGCTGCTAAGGATGCTTGTTTTACATATTAGTATCTTTGATGCACTGTACTTTCATTTTGCTCCTGGTGTTCCATCCTAAAATCAGATCTGAAAGTCTTAGAATTCAGTGATATTTTTAGCTCAGGGTACAGCTGGTGACTTGGTGTTTTTAACAATGGAGTGACTTGAAAATGTAATTCTTATCTTCCTGTTGCAAACATCTTTCAGGATAGTTGGGAGACCTTTTGAAATCGTGTAGCCAGAACTGTGGCTGTGGCAGAACTGTTGCCACCCACTACTATTTGATCTTATGGATAATGAATAAGGCTGCATTTTAGTCACTGACAAAAGTTAAGAACTGGTCACGGTCCATAAACAAAAATGTACTTCCTGTGACTTGTCCCTGACTTATTCTATATTTTCCTGACTCAGCCTTGGGTGCTCTGGCAGCAAGCCTTGCCACCTAGATCTGTACTGCTCCCCCACTAGAGGTTGCCGCAAGCTGTCCCTGCCACAAGCCGCCCCCACCCCAAGCGCCAGGCCAGCAGCTCCACTTGGTGGGAACTGCAGCAGTTGCTACAGAAGGTAAAGGTCCCTGTAAGTTGTGGAATCCTTGACTTCTGTGAGCTCCATAACAGACTCGCAGGCTTAATAATGAATTATAAATAAGTATCTGTTTTTCAGCATCTCTTCTGTTTTTCATAGAATCATAGAATCATAGAATAATAGGACTGGAAGGGACCTCGAGAGGTCATCGAGTCCAGCCCCCCGCCCTCAAGGCAGGACCAAGCTCCACCTACACCATCCCTGACAGATGTCTATCTAACCTGTTCTTAAATATCTCCAGAGAGGGAGATTCCACCACCTCCCTTGGCAATTTATTCCAATATTTGACCACCCTGACAGTTAGGAATTTTTTCCTAATGTCCAATCTAAACCTCCCCTGCTGCACTTTAAGCCCATTACTCCTTGTCCTGTCCTCAGAAACCAAGAGGAACAAATTTTCTCCTTCCTCCTTGTGACACCCTTTTAGATATTTGAAAACCGCTATCATGTCCCCCCTTAATCTTCTTTTTTCCAAACTAAACAAGCCCAGTTCATGAAGCCTGGCTTCATAGGTCATGTTCTCTAAACCTTTAATCATTCTTGTTGCTCTTCTCTGTACCCTTTCCAATTTCTCCACATCTTTCTTGAAATGTGGCGCCCAGAACTGGACACAGTACTCCAGCTGAGGCCTAACTAGTGCAGAGTAGAGCGGCAGAATGACTTCACGAGTTTTGCTTACAACACACCTGTTGATACAACCTAGAATCATATTTGCTTTTTTTGCAACAGCATCACACTGTTGACTCATATTCAACTTG